AGACCCGACCCTGATGGCAGCCTCCCTCCTCATAATACACTCCATCCAGGGATGCAGCAGCACCAGCAGCAGCACCGGAGGCAGCACCGGCAGCAGCACTGGATCTGGCAGGTTTCTTGCTGTCTCCTGTACTTGGCTTCCGCCCACTGCTAGCACCAGCTTGCTTCTCCCGCCGTGCTCGAACCACTTCCCTCAACGTAGAGACTGACATAACTGCCTTGGTGCTAGCTGCAAGTCCCGAATCACCTGCAGCCTGCAGCTCTGCTCTCTCTTGCATTGATCCCGAGCCTGACCCCCTTTTAACATGAGAATCGCAACTCCGTGCCGTGGTCACTGGCTGCCGCAGCTTTGAAGCTGTGTGAGACGAAGATGACTGCAGGCTGGGCTGAGAGCTTTCTCCAGCTCTGATCGTCTGCTCCTTTCTGACCACCAGAGGTTGCTCAGCGGCAAGTGGGTTGTGAGACCCGGAAGGGAGATGAGCTGGTGGAAGATCTTTGTGGGACGACGAGATTCCTAAGGGGGACTGGCGTGGCATTGGCAGCGAGGCTGATGTGGCAGTTTCCTGGAAATCCAGGGCTGCAGCATATGTTGCTGAGGGTTGCAGGCGAGATGGAACAGTGACTGCTCGAATCTTCTGGCGGGCCGACTGGAGGACCTGCAGGACAGCTGACAGGCGAGGGGTGGCCTCCTCTGCAACTGATTCCTTCCGACCCCTTGCACTGATCAGTTCGAACCCCGTGGCTTCAGCTGCTACTGCCCCACAAGACTGCACCGAGCCTGAGTTGGCTGCCCTCTCACCTACTATGTCAGACCCCATGTAATCTGTCTGTCCACCATCATCCTCTCCTTTACCATCCCTTCTCTCCAACCCCTCCCCTTCTCCAGAAACAGCAGCAGAATTTCCTCCAAACTCCATGCCTGAAATACCACCATGCACATCATCCATCTCCCCCACCTCATCCCAACTTATCCCTCCTCCAGTCAGCAACCCCACTCAGCAGTCTCAGAAGCCCTCTTGCTGCTCACACCAGCCGAATTAGCATAATCACTGCTTCCAGCACCCATAGCGCCTGCAACATAACCCATTGTTCCAGTAGCCATGGAACTCCCTGCATCAGCCATAGGCGTTGTAGCTGCCTTCCTTCCCCGGTAGATGTTTCCTCTTTATAAGGTGGCCTACTGGTGCTTTCCTCAGCCTGACTGCTGTTGCTGGTGCGCTTAAGCTTGGGTATTGGTACATCAGGGTCTGAAAACGACTCAAGACTTTCCCGGGCTTTTGTGCTCCGACGCAAGTCTGGGTCCATCTCACTGTCAGAGGAAGCTGACGGATTGGAGAATGAGAGCAGACTTTGTGGCAGTGTGAGTGTGTGGGGAGAGGTGAGAGTGTGTGTGGAGGTGAGTGTGTGTGGCTCATCTGGCTGATGAGCTACAAGGGATGAGGAAGGTACGGGAGGCGAGAAAACCATGCTGGAAGATGAAGGCATTGGGTTTGCTGACAAATCAGAGGTCGACCACGGATGTGGTGTGGATGTAAGAGGAGCAGCAAGGCTTTGAGGCACAAGAGTGGAAGGAGGAGGAGGAAGTATGGGTAGCTGAGCAGTAGAGCCAGGTACAGCTACATCTCCTGTTTCGTAAGTTGGGCAGTGCTGCAGAATCCCCCGCTTTGGTGATTCGCGTAGAAGTGAAGGCAAAGGAAGGTCGTCGTCTGAGCATGGGGGACGAGGCGAGCAGTTTCCTGACTGAGGTTGGGAGCCGCAGGCGGACGTAGCTGGAGACGCCTGGAGTGGAGAGAGAGCGAACTCGGGCAAGCCTCCATCAGATGACGACAGATCTGTGAGGAAGGAAGAGAGGGACATTGACCGGTCCTGCGACAGCAACCGTGGCCGTGGCATGGGCTGAAGTGGCCCATTCTCGGTTTGAAGCTCCCTGGCTGCAAGAGTCTCCAACGATTCAGACGATCGTTGCACATCGGCCTTGGATGCTTGCACCGAAGGTGGCGAAATTACGCCATGTTCTCCGAAGGTCTTTTCTCCAGGAAGACCGACGCTGCTGGACCCCTTCCTGCCACTTCCTGCTCTTTCCTCTTCCCTTAGGTCTGTAGTCGACCTCCTTCCACTGGCAGTCGGCTGATGGGCCTCCGAACAGTAGAGACTCTTTCACTGGAATTTCTTCCACTGGAGCGGTTTCCCAAAAAGCTGTCTTCAGAGGTCCTCCTGGTCGCCAGCCAGTTCACACTGTGAACGTTGCTCCATGTGCTGCTGTACGCCCTCAACCCAACCGGTGCCTCATCATCCTCATCCTCTCTGCCATCCTCAGGTTCACTGCAGCTTTTCGCAGCTTCAGTCCCACCGCTGTCTGCCATGACCCTTGCTCAGCTCCGTATCTCCTCCCAATTCCAATACTCCTGGCAGGAACATTCGCCAGACTAACTTTCATATCCCGCCCGGGAAGCATCCATTCTCCACCACCACGCCTTTCGCTGCATTCAGAGTTGCACCCCTGCTCTGCCTTGCTAGCAGCACCAGACACACAATCCAGCCTACCAAGCCCATCACTGCTGCTGCTGGCATGCAATTCCGTGCCACTATCAGTAAGAGCACTGGGCCCTTCGCTCAGCTCACCAAAGCTTCCCACCAGCTCCGCAGGGTCGCAATAACTGGACCAGAGGCCACTTCTAGTGCAGAGGTTCCACCCATGAGCTCAAGCTGCTGCAGGAAACTGGCTCTGAAGTCAGTATCACCAGACTGCGCCACATCAGAAGCCTGCACAGAAGCAGACTCTTGCTCCTGCAGTACCAACCAAGGGCATGAGTGAACCTGATACATGAACTGTCTCAGATGAAGAAATTCCACGGAAAATCTGTGAAGGGCTCACCTCAGTCACTTGCTGCAGCCAACGCATGAGGTAGTTGATGCTTTCTTCGTTCTGATGATCTTGCATGCCAGACAGCAGTGTTTCGAGGCCTTCGCCAAGACGTTTCCACCTGAAACCATGAATGGAGCTGTTAGGCAAGAAAAAAAAAGGGCACAACTCTCAGCAGAGGCAAATTTGACTGGCTATTACATACTTGGCCTCGTCTTGATGCATTGTTCCTCCTGATAACACTGTATCCAAAAGACTGGCCACGTCTAGCTTCTCAAGGACCCCAGCAGAAGGGCGATGGTTATTGTCATGGACAGCAGGCTGTGTCAGCGCCGTCAGGGAACTGGCTCGATGTTGAGATGATCTCGTCTTCAACTGTGGGAGGCTTCTCCATGCATCATTACCCTCCCTTTCACCCCTGTTCATTTGACCCTTCTGCCGCAGTGGAAAAACCGGAGCCGTCCACAATCACCCCCTCCGTTCGCCTTCTTGGAGTAGATCGCTGGGAGTTACTCCTCGACCTGCTCCTGAGGCAGGCGCGGCTGTGGTCGTGGTGTGCTGTTGCAGCTACGGCTAGCAAAAAGGCTCATCAACATGTTGCAACACGGCTTAGATCAGCATCTGTAGCAGTTCCATCCCGTGGCCATCACCTCCTCCCTCCCCTTCACCAACCTTCTCAGCGTCTGGTGTTTCAACGCCAAGAAACGATGGCAAGCCTCCCGAATCGTCAAGACCTCCAAGCCCCTCTGAAAACAAAGAATTGACATTAAGAGTCCCATCGTCCACCAGCTCGGTGGAAAGCATGGAAAGTCTAGCAGAAGCACGACTGGAAGAATTCGGTTCAACTGTAAAACTGAGGTGACCATGGGACGTTTTCGAGATACTAGTAGAAGGTCGCTGTCCTGATGAAGCCAAATCCGGAGCTGACGAAGAAGAGGGCCAAGGAGCCGTTGACAGGGATTGTCCGAGGTGATGAACGGTGGGCCAAGAATCCTCATCGTGGAAGGGACGGTGTAAGGCGTCCGCCATGGGAGTGAATTTTGAGGAAGTTCAGGAGAGAAAGCCGAGATGTCATTGGAGAGTACGAATTATCCAGCATCGAAAAGTCCTGGCGACTGTTGAAGCTCTGCAGGCATGAAAATGGAACGTGAGAACGGATCCGAGCAGCCAAACCAAGACACAGAAGTTCTGAACCGCAATCCTTACCTCCATCAGGAACAATTCATGCGATCGAGAGAGCCTTGTTGCTCATCTGACAGGATAAGTCACGAACACTTGAACCTACTGCGTAAACGAAGTCGTAAGGATGATCAGGAAGAATGGTAACAGCGGTCAAGAAAATTATGGCGTTTCCAATCCCAAGGTCTTACTCGCACAGCCTTGAGGCAGGGAAAGCACTAAAAGAACCTCTAGCTTAGTCGTGCCTGTCCTGGTAACACGTCCTGACAGTCTGCCTGAATTCCAGGAACAATTCCTTGACAGAGTAATGGTGGATATGCTGCAAGAATATCCCAGCAGAGAAGCGGGTACTAGACGGATTCACGGTATCGTTCCTGTCATTCCGTCTCCGGTGAAGGGATTCCCTTCTGTTTCCCTGGCTGACGGAATGACTCCATGCTGTATGACTCTCGCTGACGGTCTCAGTCGACGTCTCCGACAGGCCTGGTCGCTATCGGTCATTCAGGAAGCAGGGCGATTCTGATTTTGACTGTCTGGCCAGACGGCGGAACCAGGAGTGTGATTTTCCTGATTCAGCGTAGCTGTGTTACGATTGGCTGCTGGAGGCGCGGTCGACGTCAACGGAGCCGTTTTCTATCAGTCGACATTTTCAAGGCGAAGCTCCCGCCTTTCCAGTCCCTTTTGTGTGGGTGGAATCTGCCTCAATCAGAATTGGGCATTCTCGGGGGAGCTTTGGCCGAGGGGGTGTACTTCGCGAAAAACGTCATGCGAAAGCAACATCTCGTGTTTTCGCATAACCAGCACCAAGCCAGGAAGAGTGAGCCGTAACCGGAGCATCGCTTCGCGAAGCGTTAACACGACGTTCGCTAGCGGCAAAAGTCCAAAATATAGCACTTTCCTGCATCACTTCAAACATTGCCTTTTCCAAACCATGGCGGACAGCCATCCACATAGCCTTGATCTGATGTGCTCGTCAGAATGGGAAGCTTCTCCTCTACAACGTCACTTTCTTATGAGGTTACGCTCTGCAGAGGCTTGCATGAGGCACTTGAATCCAGTCAAACGCTTGATTTTCTCCCCAACGGTAGCCGAATTCGAATCCACATGTCGAGGGTTCCATTCCCAGCCAGTAGTAATGCCAGCGGACTGGTTACCGCCATGGACGGAAATTCTCCAGGCTCCGAGTGTTACGGAGGGACTTGAAGGTCTTCTCGGTGATGAAGTAGAGGTGAGCAAACAGATGAATCCAGGTTTCTAACTGTTGCTGAGCTCTTCACTGAATTTGCCCGTGTTGAACTAGCAAACACGAGCTATGTGATGCTCAGACAGCTCGTCCTAGCGCCTGCGAGAGTCTTGCAATGGCGAGAAAATAGTCGCTAGGTACTACGGTGAGCCCCGACTGATCCAATGAGTAACGGAAGCTGGTGCTTTACATCCGCTCCGCTTTGGTTAAGTATGTCAAATCTGCTGCCTAAATCCCGACTCTCCCTGCCTCCCCCCTGCCTCTCCCTTGCCTCTCCCCTGCCATCCTCAGTCAGGTTGAGGTCTTCCGCCTCGATTTTCGCAACGACAGCAGAAACGCCGACCGAGTGGTATCATCAACGATCAAGAGGGCCTTGGGCGACCTGGAAATGGAAGAAGCAGAGGATACAGCAGCAGGAGATGCGAAGAAGCGGCGGTGTGTGGAAGGTATGAGCATTGTTACCAATGGCGAAGTACCCTTGCTATCCTGTGAGGTATTAGCGTCATCAACGGGAGCAACAGTATCTGTCGCCAGTAACCCAGCCATAAGCGAGACATGTGGAGCAAAAGAAGCAGTTCCAAAAGTTATCTCCGCCCCGGACTTACAACCAGCCTCAGCGTTGCGATTCTCCTATCTTCCAAATTCGTCTGTGCGCTTGATGCATCTGGGTCGGTTCCTATCAACTTGCAAGGGATCTGTTGCACAATCTTCTGAGTCGTCAGAGCCGCCCCTACCAGCGTGGCAGCTGATGTATCTGACATGGCGTGGACTTCCCAATTCATCTGCGTCCATACAGTCAGACTTTGAGCTAACGGCTTCTGACAATTGTCAGGAGGAATCAGTGAGCAACAGAGACAAGCTGGAGGGAAAAACTCAAGCAGGCGCTCAGTCATCAGTCAGCCTTATCCCAGACAAGCAGCTGTCCAATGGGAGCACGCCACATGGCTTCCAAGTATTCATAGACCAGCTGCTGGTCCCGACTCTTTCCCCTCCGTTCCTGGAAGCTTTCAGACAAGGGGAGGCACTGCACAAAAGCGAAGAGGCTGGGGACAAAAAGAGCAAGGGGAGAGCCAGCGGACTGGGGGCTACAGGATGTGCTTCTGGCGGTCGTGAGCAGTGGAACTTGTGGGTGGGACGGAGTGCCACAAGTCAGATTCACTTTGACGGCATAGACAATGTCCACGTGTGCTTAGAGGGCAGCAAGCTGTTTCATCTCTACGACCCCTCTGACTCCATCTTCCTCTACCCCAACCCTTGGAGCGAAGGTACCCCGTGTTGCTTTTCCACCTCACACGCCCATAATTTTTGTATGTCTGCATTTGGTCGGCTTAACCCTGTATTTTTGGCCATGACAGATTCGATTAACAACAAGTCATCTTTGCCTTCCATCCTCACCGCGTGTCCGGAAAAGCATCCTCTTTTCTTCTCTCATGCTACATGCCACCGAGTTCAGGTGACATCTCTCGTTGCTGCTGCTCTCACATTTTTGCAAGGATCATGTGAGGAACCCTGAACAACATGCTTTCCTCTTGCTGGTGTCTCTGTGCAGCTGATGCAGGGAGAGGCTATTTTCATTCCAGCTGGATGGTGGCATGAGGTGAGGGGAATGTGATGCCTGGATCCTTATGTGTGAATGGTTACCCTTATCTCATCTCTCATTCGTCACTCTTACAGGTTTTCACCTTTGGTCCAATGACGGTTTCAGCAAATGTCTGGTTCCCGCCACATCCATCATGTCGACTGAGGCCCACCCTGATGATGCTTCACTCTGTAAGTACGGTTTCTTAGTTGATCATTCGGAGCCGCAATTGAATCACTACGTTGACTACCTCTGTAAATAATCTGGCTGTGCTGGCTGCAGCACCGCATGCTTCATCACATGCAAGCAGCTTGGGAGAGAGGGCTCTTCAAGCATCTCGAATCGTAGAAGGCTGAAGCTCTCACTTCAGTGCCAGCCACCAGACTCGGAATCTGACTAGCAGCATTGCTGAACCCAGCCTTAGTCTCTAAATACGTTACACCTCTAAGGAGCAAGCTCAGTATCAGAAATGCTTCCAATCCAAGCTTGCAGTTATACACCATTCTCAGCATGCAGCTACCAGCCTGACTAGAAAAGAATGGATTCCTTCCCACAAATTGCACAGTATGTATCAAACAGTGAAATTGACATGGTACATCAGAGCCAAAGGTCTTGGGTTCAACTCCCGGTGCCAGCGCTGCAGAGGCGCTCGTGTCTTCCACCTATCCCAGCGGGGGGGGGGGTGTTGAGTGACCCGCTGGGGTTGCCCTTGAGATCCTCGGGGAAGGGCTACAGGTGCAGAGCCTGGGGGGCTATGGGCGCACTTACCCGCTATTCAACAAGCCCTTTTAACCCAGTGGTTAGTGGCTGGGTTTCTGACAGTATGAGCATGATTCATGAGGTGACTAGTGCACCTGTGCCTTCAGGTAGGGAAGGAGAAAACACATTGCATTTAAGACTGATTTCACACTGCATTTCAGAAAAGGATTGTGCCAACAAATAGGTTTTCTACACATGTGCCAGAGTGCAGTGCAGACATCTGTCAGGCTAGATTGCATTCGATGTGAGTCTATTCCTCAACATCTCCACCCCAGACAAATCCAGCATCGTGATGTGGACGCTACTCAATCAGCAGCTAGCGCTGCTGCCTTCTTTTTCTTCTTCTTTATTGAGTCGGGAGACTTCAACTTGGCCAAATCAGCTGACTTTGCTGGCAATCTCCTTCGGCCGTCACCCGAGTAACACCAGGCTTCACACTGCTTCCACCTGTCTCCTTAGAACCACTTCCAACAGCCTTTCCACCTGAACCAGGCGTCCCTTGCACCTCCTGGCCCTTCGACTTTTTCTTCCTCGCACTCGCCGGTTCGCTGACCACGCCATTCTCCGCAAACACATCTGCTCCTGCAACGCTCCCTCCCCTGTCCCGCCCTGCAGCTGACTCGCTTCTTGTCTCAGCCCGCCAGCATCCCCACTTCCTGCAGCATCCAGAGACTTCCTTTTCTTCTTGGGAGTCTTCTCCGTTCCACCGCTAAGCTCCTGCTTTTCACCAGCAGCACCATTGCCGTCCGCTGTCACCGCTTTCTTCTTTTTCTTCTGCTTTCCGCTACCGGTAGCCTCTCCAGACACTGTCGTCTTACTTGCCGGCGTTGCGGCTTCTGTTTTCCGTAGCTCCCCTGCCTCGCCTTCGTTTGCACCTTCGTCGCCATCAGCAGTGACATTGCTGGCTAAAACCCTACCTACATTAACCCGAGGAGGATTCTGTGCTTCGGCTTCTGGCGCACTGATTGGGGGTCCCGATGGATCAAGAACGGTCAGGATGGTGCTAAGATGGGAAAAAAGATCTGGAGCGTCGGTTTGAAGCTCTGGGACATACTGAAGAAAACGTCGAAGTATTCGCCCACCTTTTGCCGCCGACATTGGAGTGCTTTGAAGCTCCATAAAATAAACAGTAGCAAAGGCGAGTATGGCGGATTGCCTATTGAAGCCCGCTCCAGCCGCACTGAGGTCTACAGTGCTAGATGAACCATGAACTCCATTCTTGCTTGGCAAAAATAGATGTTCCAGTACGCCGCAGTCCGAGCAACGACGCCAATCGGGGACGCGAGGAAACAGCCAGACGCGCTTGAAATAATTGCACGCGCACAAGGCAACTACTCAACAACCGCCAGTTGTCGGGCCTAGTCCAGGCCAGGGTAAAGCAGTAGTAGTTCACGGACTCGGCTTGGCAATGAGGATTTGCTAGGGTTCAGGTTTGAAGCTCTGAGAGGCTGATCTTAGTGGAGCGAGGATTTGCCTTAGCGTTTGATATCTATCCAACTGTACATACGAAACATATAGGAGATCTTAATCATTGCATAATTCGATGGTAATATAGGGATGTTAGCAATGCACGTATTATACACAGCAAACAAAAGTGATGTGTACGCGATGAAAAACATGTGAAAAACTGGTCACATGACAGCTCCCTCAATGACCAGCAAGATTTAACAAATCCCTAAAATACTCGTGCTCAAGCGCTTCTCGGGCAGTGACGCGCTTGCTTGGGTCCAGACAAAGCATTTTCTGCAGATAGACGAGGCAACGGCGTTTGCAAAAACATGTCAGCGCTAAGAGCGATGATGAACATGATGTATGGAAGAGTGGAAAAGCATAACCCCCCATGATCTTACCGACAAAAGATCGATCCCACTCTTCTCCAATGTTGGCACGATAGACTGGTGATCCTGAAAACGCAATTTTAGGCGGGGATGGTGCCAACAGACAATGCATGAGTTGAAGCCAACAGAACAAACGAGCGATCATGATGCAACAAACGATCTCTTTGGTTGCTCCCATTCCCGTCACTTTGCTTCTCCATTACCCCTAAATCATTACCATGACTTCTTAGAAGCAAAACAGACCGATAAAAATGAATGCAGTGAAAACCGCACCTTGGCTGTCCATTGAGGAAATGAAGTCTTGTAGTCAGGAAGTTGTGAAACTCCTGGCCAGTTCTCATCATTTGGCGTTCCCAACAATCTGCGAAGGTTTGGCCACAGATGAGCGAAGCCAGATAAGGAGGCCTCCTGTTCGAGCAATGAATCACGACTTCCTGAGGCTCATCTCACCTGAATATTTTAAACAGCTCATCAATTTCGGAATCTCCTGGAAATAGGGGGCGCTGATTGATCATCTCCGCGAAAATACAACCAACCGACCAAATGTCAACAGGCGTTCCGTAGTGATTCGAGCCCAGAAGGATTTCTGGGGCCCTATACCACAGGGTCACGACCTGCAGTCAGGCAAAGCATAGGATCGACATGAAATTGAGCTCCATCCGTTAGAATTCCACCTCAACCATTGCAAATACACAGGTGAAAGATAGAACGTCATGCTATTCTGTGGCCTCATCTCACCTCGTGCGTGAACGTTCGCACTGGAATCCCGAACGCTCTGGCAAGCCCGAAGTCAGCAAGCTTCAAGGAGTTCGTCTGACGGTCGATGAGAAGGTTCTGAGGCTTCAAGTCCCGATGCAACACGCGGTGAGCGTGGCAGTATGCTACTCCTTGAAGAATCTGGTACATGTAAGACTGCAACCAGCAAACGAGGAGGGTAACGCATTGAGTTCGGATCACAAACGACTCTGTTTTAGAGTGAAGCGAAGCAACTCCCCCTTAAAAGCATTCGAATCGAGCCAGATGCATGACGAGGCTCACCTTGATAATCATCCTGTCCTGTGCAATGTGAGGACTTGTGTCTAAATGCTTCTTAAGGTCCAAATCGAGGTACTCGAAGACGAGGTACAACCTTCGGTCAGCATGCACGACGTCCTGAAGCCTGAAATTAAAATACGATCGTCAGGTCAGATTCGCTGCGAGTGCGTGTCCCGACTGGAAGAACTATGGAAAGTGAGGGATTACTAACCTAACAATATTCCCGTGCTGCATCTCCTTCAACAGTGCGATCTCTCTGATGGCGGTACTAGGGACACCTTCGTCTTCGGCTTCTAGCCGAATCTTCTTCAGCGCTATCGTTTCATTGGTCAGCCTATCACGAGCTTTGTACACGACACCATACGTCCCTTCTCCGATCTTCTCGACCTTCTCATACTGCAGACAGATAACAACCGTTAAACCGTCTTCAATAACAGCAGGAAAGTCCAGCACGAGCAATTAGCAAGACCAATACCTAAATTCACCTGCTCCATGGCGGAAATCAAGCCTCCGAAATCCACTCAAAATGCCCTAAGGAGACGAAGACAGCCGAGACCAGACACACTAAGACTAACGATCGCTTGCTTGCGCGGGGTAAGCCTCGCGGGTCTTCCGCTGGAGAGGCTCGAACTGCTAGGACAGATTCGCGGTTTCTCTGAGAGTTTCAGAAGCAAGCACAGCCCAAGCAGAAGCACAAGCAAACGCAGATTCACCTCAGGATGCACCAGCTGATAGGATCCATGCCTCTGTTACAGATGGTCCCCCCACGGCACGGACCACACCTTCATCAGGCATAAAGAATGGTTGCGACTGGCTATGATGTTTGGCGGGAAACTCGGCTGTGTGCTCGCTCCATTCCAGTACAGTACATGGTTACCGTAGGGGAGAACTCGAGGTGGTTACTGTAGCCTTTGTTTGCTGGTGTGTGCTGGGATTCCGCGAAGCGCACTAACTGCTGGTCGCCTGACACCTCCTAGTGTAACAGATGAACATTACATCTGACGAACCTTATGTTTTCAGCATTGAGTATGCATCCCCAAACCCATGTCAACTTATACATATTATCTATGTAGAAGTTATAGGCTAGACTGAGGTATGCTTCTAGTGAGTACAACCAACTAGTATTTGTTCTAGGTTTCCACTTCTAGTAATTATTCGTTCTCACTTTGACAACCCAACCTAGTCCTCACCTCAACCCCTTGACAGCTTCCATATATACATCAGCACCAACCATTTTTAGCCAAAGCTGACAACGGTCAACGCCCATATCTAGTATATCAAGTAATAAGCATACAATGAGTTCCAATCTATTTGTGTCCACAACAGTTAGTTCACCTTGCACCAGCAACCACAGCAGACCGTGCTCTTCGTGTTGCTTGTGCCAAGAAAAGCTCAACTATCTCACGCTCCAGCCCTCTAACAGCAACAGTCACCCCAGGGGGTAATTGTTCAGTAGGTGGACTTGGCCGAACTTGTAGCGCTGGGCTTAGCCCCTCCCTCTTGCCCCCTCCCAGGGAAGCATAAGTCCCAGCAGAGGATGTGCCAGCAGAAACGTGGCCACCCCTCTTGATCCGATCATAAGCCTCCGTAATCTGCTCAACAAGGCCATAAAAAAGCAAATAAGCAACAGGGGCGAATGAAACGACTCAAATTTCAAACTGCTGCATGCATCCACTCGTCATCAGCAGCATGACCATGCATTGCACCTCACACCCCTCGCCACGCCCTCACCTTCATAAACTGAGCCTCAGCAGAGGCCTTGTCCTCGTGCGAGTTGTGCCTGTCTGGATGATGCCTGGCTGCTAAGGAGCGGTACGCTGCTCGGATCTGAGATGAGGGAGGGAAGGATCAGGGAGAGGTCTAGCAGGTGAGAAGGTTGTTAATGAGGACACTGAGTTTAACGGCTTGAAGGAGTAACACCCGCAAATGAAGCTGGACGCTTGACTTTCTGCAAGGGCTGAGCGGTGAGTTACACACGAATGGCTTCAGGGGTGGGGGGGGGTGGGGGGGTCAAGGCAAGAAGTAGTACCTGGGAGGGGGCAGCACTCTTGGCAATCCCGAGGATGGAGTAGGGACAGGAGTGCTCCTCCACCCCTTTATTGTCACCTCCAGTTGACGACGTGGGTGAAGATCCGAGCATGGCGGTTACCACTTCGTCGTAGAAACTCTCTGCACTCTCGTATGAATACTCCAAGCTGGGTTAGGAGAAGGGAGAAAGGAACATTGGCCGAGAAAAGGCAAGACAAACAGTTAAAGGGGGGGGGGGGGTGGTTAGCGTTTGGGGAAGGCAAAGACGAGGAATAGGCTATCTGAGAAGTTATGGCTGTCATACTGGGAATAGTGGAAGAGATGTTTTAACAGGAGCTTCGAGTCGATTCAGAAAGCATCACTTACATAAGACCGTGGCAGAAGAAAAGTAAGAAAGTAAACAATGGGAGGAACGGGGCCACTTACAGGTGACGCGGCACTGAGCTGACGAAGGAGCCTGCACTCTCTGCTATCAACCTGCCATAAAACAAAGTCAGTGAAGAGGCCCATGTCAGGTCAAAATATATGAAAAAGCATGGGGGAGGGATGGAACAAAGATTCATGGAAGGGTGGGGGACAAGGAGGGAGAGTTGGCCCTGCTACTCCCAAAACCTGCCCTGTCCCCCAACCCCCCCATGTCCCTTCACCCCTCCGCCAACCCTCCATGTCCGCGACCACCCTCTGACGACCCTCCCGTTGACCCTGCTACTCTCCCAAGACTTTATCCCCTTCCCTGTATGATGCCTAAAAACCCTATCTGCACACGTGCGGTAGCACTTAAGGCATGGCCGTCGCTGCTTCCTCCTCTCGATCGCCTCCCTCGGTCCCCTGTCTGTACCCTTTCTGACTATCCTCCTGGCGTGTCTGGTCCGCCCATCATTCCCACACCCCGTCTGCCCTACCTGCACACGTGCGGCAGCACTTTAGGCATGGCCGTTGCTGCTTCCTCATCTGACACTAGCACCAGCTCTACCACCGGCAGCCAATCCGAGAGGGCCACATCAGCAGCAGGCCCCGCTGACGTGGCACCCGCCTGCTGCTTCTTGTCGCCACCCGATTGGTGCATTCGCCTGACGCAGATTACGTACTCCCTAAGGCCCGGAGATTCCGGAAAGGAATCTCCGGAGGAATCTTCTGCATTGTCGGACTGGGAATGGTACTGCTGATGGTAATTGCATAGTAGCTGGTGGTACTGCTGCTCACTGCGCCTCAGAAGAGCAGCCACGTCGACTAATAACGGGGATGGGATGGGGAAATGCAGCACCGGGAGAAGCTACTTAGGCGAAGAAAGCGAGAAGGGAAGATGAGACAGGCGCGGGGGCGTTTCAAGAGAATGTACACCTTTTCGACCACGACGAACGCCAGATATTGAAAGTGAAACCTACAACAAGTAAAACCATAACAGAAGCCAGAGACTAAAACATTTCATTGCAGAGTGTGTCCCACCTTTAGGCGCAGTCGCCGCTTTCACCCCAACCTTGGTCTTCGCCCCGAAGCCTCCACCCGACGCCGTCTTTGCCTTTGACCCTTTTCCTGCGGCCGAAACGACGAGACGACGACTCGACGAGAGCTGTTGTGGCGCATGTTTCGGTGATAGAGATCCTGAGGTTATTCTAAGTGAGCAGATAATCTCTGACCGACTGAAGCCGCAGCAAGGAGGGCTACTGAGCACCGACATTTGGAGGATCGACGGATGCTGAGGTAGACGCACGCAGTGACCAGGGCGGTTAGCACAAGCTTCGGAAAACTAGCAAGAAATGGCCGATCACCTTTCTCGGCTTAGCAGGGGACAGGGTTTTTTATGTGTTGGAGAGGTGTATTGAATGATGAGCTAATCGAAAGCGGACTGTTATAATTGCACAAAAGGCGACGGCTCCTGGATGTTATAGAGTCAGCTACTGACGATACATTATGCAGGTGTGTTGCTGTTCTCTTGGCTAACGGGCTTGCGGGTGGGAGGAGCAAAAGGGCGAAATCGCGCGTTTCAACGGAAATTGAGTTCGAATACAAATGGTCGACCCTTTTTGCCACGCGATGTATGCTTTCGCCACGCGGGCCAAAACAGTCAACTCCCGACTTTGTTCACATTTTCATATTGATTTGAAGTAAAATGGCTGGGGCAAATCGGATGTGCTGGTAAACATTTCGGATACGCACAGTGTGTGGAGCACGCCGTTGTGAACAGTTGTCAAACATACTGTTTCAGTACAGTTACTAAAAGGACCCCCCCGCCCACCCCTTTAAACCCGTCAAGAACTTGGCTAGCAAGGAATCTAAAGGCTTTCACTCTTACTACAAAAATAGCACGTACAAATCCAAAGAAAAGTATTTCTTAGGATAAAGTATTGCGCAAGATCGTTTCGGAAAATTGGATAGAGAAAAATCTCTCTTAAAATACGGATTCAAACATACCCTTAATTTCTCAATATTTAGGGTGATTGTCTTGTTAGCAAGAGGCTTTCTCATTATCGATTAGCATGCAGGCCTCATCTCGTGAGGTTTCGCGAGGTCTTGCGAGATCTCATGCGCCGGTAAATGCGGATTGCTAGGGTGTACCCCTCCGAAAATATTGTCCGCAAATGGTGCGTGCAAGTCGAAACGTTTCCATCATAATTACGTACAATATTGATTATATTCTACTAACGAAAGCTCCAAGAATGTAGGAAATTGCACGTGATTGTTGTGCGACCTAGAAAAAATTGTATATATGGTTTCTAAGGTTGTGCGAGCTTTGGCGTATGCATACAATAGAGTGGCGGAGAGCTTGTCTTTTGTGCCGACCATGTCCATATGGGCACGTCACCCGGTTTTTGCAATGTGCCGCACAACCAAGTTTCAATTGTTTACATTATCTATGGTATTGCAACAAGAGTAACACACATGTAATTGATCAAAATGTATGCCGTATCCTTTTTGGATACTGCTTCCACTAGTACTCGCAGTTGGCAAATTTCCGGGCCATAGTGAAGGCAACTTAACGAAGGGGAACTATCTCCGCGACAGCCTGTGTGCTGCGGAGATTAAAACTTGCTAGTAATAAATACGCCCCCTATTAGGCTTACCACTTCCGTATGAATGACGTTGCCAACGTGGCCACTTCGTAACGCTCCCAGCTTGCCTTATATTTCAGGGATAATTACCAGAAATTATTTGTCTTTACGATTTCCCATAGAGAAACCTATTTTGCAGGCACCGTACTGCTATACACGCCAGTCGTTTATGATACCAACGCTGTAAAGGAGACGCGTAGAGTAAACCGTAATGTTCCCGGAACCTTTGAAATCCGAAATACGGGTTCGGAAAATAATAATTATAGTATATAAGGCAAAATCTAATAAGATAACTTGGATTCATCGCATCTGACGCGTTCTGATTAGCTAGTGTGATGTGCCAGGGTCAGGTTGTCGACCCTCAAACTCCTTCGTTCGATGTGGGTCGTCGACCTCTCAGCGGGCACTATTACTTCTAGGAATGTCATGCATGAGATATGCTGTTCCGTTATAGATTGGCTGGTTTTGTGTCTTCTTGCGTATGTGGGGTTTGCACCTGAGAAATACTTGCGGTAGTCGTGGTTGCTCTAGTAGAATAAGATTTGTATCTCTTATTCGTCCTTATCCTCATTTCGGCCACAACAAGGGCTGCCCAAGACTCCGGTGCAAAAAACGTGAGCACTTCCGAGCATCTACACCCGAGGAGGAACAGTTCGGGGAGTCGACCGTTTT